GCATAAAATGTAAGTGTTCAAAAAATATTATTCTCTCCTTTAATGTCATTACAAATATAATATAAAATATCTAAATTTTAAGTATCAATTCATGAAGTTTTACTCTCCCCACACCTCAGTACCCAGGATTAAACCCAGAGATGCTCCACAAATAGCCATATCTCCAACCCTTTTGCAAATTTTACTGAGACAAGGTCTATGTTACCTAGGCTGCTTTTGAACTTGTGATCCTTCTGCTTCAGCTTACTGAGTAGCTGGGATTATAGATATGCACCACTGAACCAGCTACATGAGTCCTACTTTCAAAGTTTCTATTTATGTCTACTATTATCAAATAGTAAACAGTTTCTTATCAACTGGCACCTGGTAATTTATAACTTGTCACATTAGTAAAAAATAATCAAAACGGTGTGAAAAGTCTTGCAAATGGCTAAATAAAAGTTTTCTGTTTTATTTTGTTTTGTTTTTTGGTACAGGGGACTGAACCCAGGGACGCCTTATCATTGAGCTATATCCATCCTATTTTTTTATATATTTTCCATCCTCTTTATTTTTAACAGGGTCTTGCTAGGATGCTAAGGGTCTGGTTAAGTTGCTGAGGATGGCCTCAAAATTGTGATCCTCCTGCCTCAGCCTACCAAGTCATTGGGATAACAGGCATGTGCCAACATGTCTGGCCAAATAAAAGATTTTTAAGAATTTTTTTTTAAAAGAAATTCTCTACCCTCAAAAAAATCATCTTTCCTATACTTTGAAATTCAGTGGCTCTCTTAGGCATTTTAAGTCAAATCATCAAATACAAAGGGGCCACAATATTGAAGGCAAATGGAACTTGATAGAGGATGAATAACCATGATATGCTGGAATCAGCAGTTTCCACAGGAAATTAATATGGATATATAATAATGGGGATAATTTGAACTTACAGGGCAATATTGGGGGGGAAAGTACAGAGTGCTCTTTCTAGTCTGTAATTTATTGCTTATCAAACAGGGAAAGTGGGGATTATGTTGCTCTAATGAGCAATTATCTAAATTTAAAATGCGTGAAGTCATAAAAATAAAACTATTGTATTTTAGAATGTGTGACATGCTTTTCAAATTAACAATAAAAGAATACAACCCATGTGTCTTGATTCCCCCCCATTATAACAATATAGGAACAAATTGCTACATTTTATTATTTTTCTATATTCTAGCATAATTATTTTGTTTTTTTTACAATTACTGCAAACATTTTAATGTGCATAATTATTTTGTATTCCACTAATATTATAAAAACATGAATAACAATTAAAATATACCCACTCTATAATAATAGCTGAATATCATGCTAAATAACTTCTCACAACTTTAACCCCTTCTATACTCAAGCATATTTTTAATATTGACCCATACTTCCGTATGATTAATTTATTTCCCTTTTCCTACTGCTAATCATCCACCTATGCTTTGCATGATCCCACTTTTCTTACATACTTTAGAACTTTGTTCTGTGTGTGTGTATACATATATATATATATATATATATATATATATGAATGTGTGTGTATGTATGTGTGTGTGTGTGTGTGTGTGTGTGTGGTCACTTTGTAGCTTTCCTGACTCACTCCTCAATTCTTGAAAAACTTAACCTGAAAAAACTCCTGGAGGATCTAGAGTTGAAGCTCAGTGGTAGAGCACTTGCCTAGCATGTGGGGCACTGGGTTCGATTTTCAGCATGTCATATACATAAATGAATAAAGTAAAAGTCCATGAACATCTAAAATAAATGTGTTAAAAATGTAATCTTCTTTAAAAAAAAAAAAAAAAAAAAAAAAAAAAAAACTCCTGGAAAAACAAAACTCTTCAAACTGCTGGTATCAATGAGGATGTATGCTAGAGAAAGCAGAATGACTGAGGGAAAGAGTACCTAGCTTTAAAGTCAGGGCATTTATAAGCTGTGTAAACTTGGACCTATTCCTTGGCCTCTCTGAATCTAAAATGCTTAATCTTTCAAACAGGAAAAATTAACACATACTGATGAGGGCTGAATAATAATGAATATGAAGAACATATAATTTGCATTCTCAATAGGCTTTGTCTACTCAGATCAGTGGTTCACAATGTTTTTTTATTTTTTCAAAACTCTAGGAAATCCAAATATTCCTTTTCCTACTCACTGAAATCCATATCCTTGTCTATAAATTTCATGAGATCTAAATTCCATTTTATTCCCAATAATAGCTCAGAAACTTGTATATGTTAGAGGTTTGTGTGGAGTAAAGATAATTTAGTAGAGAAATTACTGTATATTTTTAATTTCTACTAGGATTGAACAAATTAAGTTTCCTTTTCTTTTTTTTAATTTATTTTTATTTTAATTTTTTTTTTTAGTTTTCAGTGGACACAACATCTTTATTTTATTTTTTTTTTATGTAGTGCTGAGGATCAAACCCAGAGCCCCATGCATGCCAGGCGAGCACGCTACCACTTAAGCCACATCCCCAGCCCAAAGTTTCCTTTTTCAATAGTTAAAAATAATTTTAAAAATTACATTGCCTACGGTATTTTTCTAGCTAACTTCCCAGGATAATTTGATTAATAGAAAAAGGATACTTATGTTTACAAGTCCTTTCCTTCTGAAAAGCTCAAAGATTTTCTCATCAATCCTTATAATCATCTCTGAGATAAATGGAGATGGGGCAAATAGAATTATGAATTCATAATCCATAAGAGTTCATAAATTCCACAGCAAAATTTCCATCTAAGTTTTCAATTTATATGTACTTTATCACAACTCTCTTTCTGAATTCACTTAAGGTACCAAATTTTCTTATTACATTAGAATATTCTGGTCTGTACCAAAAATATTTTTGTCATTTAAGAAAACAAAAATTTTATAAAGTGTTATATATAGTAAGTGAAACAGAATAACATAAAAATGATCAATTTAATCTCCTAAACTACCCTGTTCAGTCTACTGACCATAGTTCTACTTCAGCTAACAAATACAAACTAAAATATTTAGGAATTAGACACAGTCTCAGCTTCAGCTTCCTTCTACTACCCATATTGGTTCTTTTGTGCTAGGACTTTCTAATAAACTTTGCTGACTAATCAGCCAGAAACCATCCTTGCCTTTTCATCTGTCAACAGAATCCTTCTTTTGTTCAGGCAATACCCAGGAAATAAATTATGATAGATTAACTTATCTTGGCAGTCCTGATCCCCTTTTCCAGTGATTGGTCTAAGACCTGCTTCCTAGAACTGTCTAGTTAGTTGAAGGAAGATGCTAGGGATTCTTAGAGCATAGCTAGAGAAACAGGCTCTTTTGCCCGAACCCCAGTCAATTTCTTTGCAATTAGAAAGCTGTCAGGATCAATCTGATAATTAAGAGCTGAACTACTATTTTGAGACCATGAGGGGAAGACCAAGAGAATTTCCATGATCCTGACACTGTACCCAGATACAACTGCGTCTAAGAGCTTCTTTATATCTAAAATAAATGTTATGATTGTCTAAGTCACTGAGGGTCAAATACTCTGTCCCTTCAAATTGAAAGTATCCTAATTAATCCACTTGTTACTTCTGTACTACCATGCAGTCTTCACAAGAGCCCAATGAAAATTACTCACTTTGGGGGGTTTTGTCTATTTTTATGGATTAGAAAACTAAGGATTAGTAAAGTTACATAGTTAATAATAACAAAGTTGAAATTTGAATCTAGATCTAACATTGAACTTTGCATTTTATTTTTCTTTTATGATACTGGGGATTGAACACAGGGACATTCTACTACTGAGCTATATTCCCAGTTCTTTTTATTTTGAGAGAGTCTTGCTAAATTGTTCAGGCTGAACTTGAACTTGCAATCCTGCTTCAGCCTCCTGAATAGCTGAGATAGCAGGCATGCACCAATGCACCTGGCTCCTCACATTCTTTTTAAAAATACAAAATTCCGGGGCTGGGGTTGTGGCTCAGCAGTAGAGCACTTGCCTTGCACATGAGGCACTAAGTTCAATCCTCAGCACCACATAATATAAATAAACAAAATAAAGGTATTGGGTCCATCTACAACTAAAAAAAAAAAATTACACGATTCCCTTTCTTCCTTAATTACAACTTGTGTTTAAAAAAAAAAACAAACTAGTAAGTTGTGTTATTAGCTATCAGAATGTGAGGAGAGCTAAAGAATATCAATTATTCTTATAATCTTGCCATAAGGATCTAAAGTCTGCAACTCTATTTTGTATTTAATTTATATGGGGAAAAAGACAAGAATACATATGTCAATATATTAAGTCCCAGATTATCTACTATAATGGCAAAAAAAAATCCCACTTAAAAAAGTGAGATGGAGGGCTGGGCTGTAGCTCAGTGGCAGAATACTTGCCTAGCATGTGTGAGGCACTAGGTTTGATCCCTAGTACCACATAAAAATAAACAAACAAAATAAAGGGATGCTGTCCATCTACAACTACAAAAAAAATTTTTTAAAAAGTAAGATGGAGGGCTGGGGTTGCAGCTCAGTGGTACAGTGCTTGCCTAGCATTTGTGAGGCACTGGATTTGATCCTCAGCACCACATATAAATAAAATAAAGGTATTATGTCCACTTACAACTAAAAAAAAGTTTTTTAAAAAAAATGAGATGGAGTCTTAAGTCTAATAGTCAATTTTTTAAAAAGTAAAAAAAAAATGAACCACAAATATGTTCTAAGCTGAAAGAACAAACTTCCTTATTTCAAATGATCCCATTAACCAAGTATGTGTCAATATAGAAACCACAAAGTTAACACTTCCTCATTTTCTCATCTCTTCATAGAAACTGATTCAGTATAAATCTTGGCAATAAGCAAGGTCATTTTTCACATAGAAACTTATTAGAACTGGATTTTTAAAAGCTATTTATTATGTTTTCTCAAACACAAATTTATATACAGAATACTGCTTTATTAATTTCTAACTGAGCATTACAAAATGAACATGCCAGGTTTCTGAGCTGATACATGCATCTTACCTTCCCACATGCTCTGCAATGATGCCTCCTTTTAGTGAATGTAAACCGGGCTTCACATTTCATGCAATTTGGAGCCTGGGAATCTGGTACCCATACTGGAGCCACCTCCCCCAGAGTGGTAAATGGCTTTCTGGCAGGAATTCCAAACTGACCAGCTCTGAGATCATTATCTGGGCTATCTGGAGCTATTGCAAGGCACGGTCTACTGGAGATCTCAGCCTCATAACTTTCTAAATGTTCTCCATTTGTATCAGTAATAGAGATGTTTCCCAAAGATGCATTGCATACATTGGTTGCTGAGTTTTCTCCCACTTTTGCTTTTCCAAGAATATCATTTTTGTTTTTAATATTATTTCCACTGTTTGCAGGAAGGTCATTTTGTAAATGATCTGATAATGGCTTTGGAATTTGAAGTTTAAGATTAGAAGGTTGCTTGGGTCTTGCACCACCAAAAGGAACACTGATAGACTGCAAGTTTGCTACTATCTTGGGGGAAGACTGTCCAAGCAATGATGGAACTTGACTACAGAAGTTTTGTAAATAATTTTTCTTCATGAGGTCACCAGTGCTGTTTAAAAGCAGTCCACTCGCTTCTGTAGCCTCATTTCCTCTTTGTTCGTAAATATTTGAGTAGCATTCTGACTTGCTCTCTTCTATTTCTTTTTCTTCTGTTACTGAATCTTCTTTGGAAGGTAATGTCTTTGGAACAAAAGAAACAACTGGGCTCTGCATTCCATAGGAATCACAACCATTAGAGAGAGAATTTGCTGCTGGTGTATCTATAACAGTGGAGAAATCACATCCTTCACCTTCATTCATGCAAGTTCCTTGTAAATCTATACCTGCATCTACTGTTCCAACACACTCTACTGCACCATCACCATTAGTGGCCTCAGGCTGACTAACCTGTAAAAACTTTTCATTTTCTTCATTTACTTGGGTATCATTCATCTCATGTGGTTTAGTCAATTTCCAATTTGTCATCTCCTGAGAGTCAGAGAAATGCTCTGTTATATTAAGAAATGCTGTAGTGCCAAGAATTTCTTCATGTTCATAACCTTCATCTTCATCAGCCCTAACATTAGTAGGCACAAGGCAATCTGAAAACTGTTCACAGTTATTGTCCCTTCCAGACCCATTAGGCATGTCTGGTTTGAGACACAAAGCTAAACCAGACCTCAGGGATTCTTCAGTTGATCTCTCACATGTTGGCTCTTTTTTTGTCAAAATCTCCTCACTCAAGTGGGAAAAGGAGTTTGGACTCCCTAAATCTGTCTTAGGAGAGCTGTTTTTGTCTGTGAGACCTTCGCATGGTATATAGTTCTCTTGCTTTTTAACATCAGGACCTCCATCTATTCCCTGGGATGAGATTTCTGACTCAGCTGTTAAACTTGTAATAACAGGCATGTAGGGATCTCTATTTATATTTTCATCATCCTTTAATTGTAAAGGGGAACAGATATTGGCTAGATTATCAGATGAAGCAGTACATAGATGGTTAACAGAGTCCTCCTCTGCTTTTGGTCTATCCAATAGATCCATTTGCTTTTCAGAGTTTATATCTTTTTCAGTGGACCCATTCATACTAATACTAAATTGATCAGATTGTCTATTTTCATTATCTAGTGAACAGCTAAAAGAATCCAAGAGAGATTGACTATTATAATCATTACAATCCTGCAAATCACTTTGTAATGTTCTTTTATCACAATTATGCATGACAGCTACCACAAGAACATTCTTCTCATCTGGCAGACAAGTTAGGTTTCCACATTTCTTATCTCCCACTTCAACAGCAATGCGTTGATCATTCTGGTTATAGTTTCTCTTAATTAACTGATCCTCTGCAATGGCATTTTCATCAATCCACATTGTGGCAATCTCTGGATTTATACTACAGTCCTGTCCATTAGCACAATGATCTTCTCCTTCCCTGGTCAGGGGAGATGAATGAGCCAGAGAGAAGATTTTTAACTGTGGTTGTGATTCACTAGAAATTGCAGGTTCATTCACACTGGCCAATGCAGAGTTAAATGACAGTTGGTGAGAAGAGGGATCTAGAATCTTATTCCACTTTGTGTCCAATAAAGTAGGAGAAATTGTTTCATCTGGAAACAAAAAAAAAAAAGTAGTTGCAGTAAGTTTGCTGATAACATTGAAATGCTACTAGGGCTAAGTTAATCAACATTTCCAACTATACTCTGAAAATAAAACATACCTAGGATATTTGAAAATAAAATATTCCTAGAATATAAAGGTATATAATTTTTTGCTAGGAATAAAAAATATATTTAAGACAATTCCTATAATCATGTCATCAGATTGTAATATTTGAGAACTTTCAAAGAACAAAAGAATTCTATGTTAATCTAATAAAATTAAACTGACCCTCATACCCAAAAAAGGGGAAAGCACCTTTGGATTGTTTGTGTATACAAGGCTGGGCACAGACTAATAATCTAAGATCAGGGGAAAAACAGAAAAGTAGTGAGGATAGAGTAATTGAGTGGGAAAGAAAACGAATAAATTTTTCTATGGAGGCTGAATGCTCATATAAAGTACATCATGATTGGGATTGTAGGTTACATGGTTATTTCCATTTGTCAAAACTGTATAGTTAGCCAGAAGTGGGAGTGCATGCCTCTACTCCTAACTACTGGGATGCTGAGATGGGAGGCTCTCCAAAGCCCACAAGTTCAAAACCAGACTGAACAATTTAGCAAGACACTGTCTCAAACAGGGTGCGGGGGGTACCTGTGGAGTTAAGATCTATGCACTTTAGGGAATAAAAAGTTTGCCTTTATAAAAACTGTAATAAAAGACTGGCTCTGGGCTCAATCCTCAGGGAAGGAAGGAAGGAAGGAAGGAAGGAAAGAAGGAAGGAAGGAAGGAAGGAAGGAAGGAAGGAAAATAGAAAAGAAAAAACTGTAGAAAAAAACAAGAAACAGGAAGTGAGAAACAAAGTTATAAATTAAAACTAGCAGCAGGTCAATAACTATATTGAAGGTGGATGATGGATGTGCTGAGGTTGTACCTATTATGGTTTTTTGGTTTGGGGTTTTTTTCAGTATTGGGGATTAAACTTGGGCACTCAACCACTGTGCCACATCTCCAGCTCTATTTTGTATTTTATTTAGAGATAGCATTTCACTGAGTTGCTTAGCGCCTCACTCTTGCTGAGGCTGACTTTGAACCCATGATCCTCCCGCCTCAATCTCCCAAGTCACTGGGATTATAGGTGTGTGCCAGTGCACCCGGCTATGTTTTTTTTTTTTTTTTTAAGTTTGCTACAGTATGTGAAATTCAGCTTGAAACCATGTCATAGTACATTATTACTTAGGTTCATATTTATATTATCTGAGGACATTTGGCAAAAGTGCTTATCTAATTAAATCAATTTACTTACAGTTTATAAATTAGAATGATTTCATATAACATTTCTGTTTACGTTTAATAAATCAAGTTGTAGTGCTATTGTGTATGTCTAAGTTAGAAAAATAAGAAATAATGCACTTAGCCTTTCCTACTTTCTTCTGCCAATAATTTATAATCATGGTGCTGAAATTATGCAGATATAACTGTATCAATTTTCAGTGCACCCTTAGCACCTTATTCATATCTTTATTAAGGCATTTACTACATTGTAATGCAATGGCTTATTTACCTCCTTTTATCCACTGAATAATTTCTGAAGGCAGAAATCATTTCATTCCATTTGTGTAAACCCTCACTTTGCACAATGCATAGTATATAGTAGGTATACAATAAATACATGGCGAGTATATACCACAGCAAAAGGACTGGACTGGGTAAATAGAAGATTTAAATGATAGCTCATTTCTCTACAAAGTATACAATCTAGTTAGGAAAATCAAAATACATGCAATATACATGAATATCTAATTGGCAGTATAGAGTGGCCTACATATTTGCAAATTATTATGTGGGAACAGAAAATAAATTTGGAGAAGAAAGGCATGCAGGTAGGATACCTGGGATTGAACTCAGGGGCACTTGGCCACTGAGCCACATCCCCAGCATATTTTATATTTTATTTAGAGACAGGGTCTCACCGAGTTGCTTAGTGCCTCGATTTTGCCAAGGCTGGCTTTGAACTCACAATCTCCCTGCCTCAGCCTCCTGAGCAGCTGGAATTACAGGTGTGCACAACTGCACCAGGCTAGAAAGGCATTTTTTCCAGGATAAAGTAAGTGAGCTTACAGAGACAGAAGGAACTGGATAAGCTTCAGAAAGTTTTAAGATTGAAAATGGAGGCATTTATAAGTAGGGAATAAGAAAAAAGCATAGTCTCAAACTTCAGAATTTAAAAGAATAATTAGTAAATCAGTTTGGGATAAGAAAAAAACTAGCATAAGAAAACAGTGAAATGAAGCTACAAATAAATCATAAAACATCCAACTGTGTAAAGAACAGCCTTAGTATCCTCTGAATTACTAAGTCTAAAATTTAAATCCAAATTTAGGCTGGCAAATATTTGAGATTTAGTAATTTGTGTTTTCTTTTTTAAATAAGCTGGTTCCTGGAAATAAAAAAGAGATACTCTTCTACAAGAATATCTAATAATATTCAAACAGGAATGATGAGGTATTAAAATTTTTAATTTTAATCATTCAATCACCACTACCAGGCATAAAGTTAAGTACTGAGTATAACCAACAGGCCATGTGTGGGATATTTTGCATTTATAGAAGGAAATAAAGTAATACAAAATGAGAAATCATTTCATTTAAAGCATACTCTCTAAGGTACCAGGTTAGAGATGTTAGTTTTTAATGCAACTGGTACTAAGATTCAAAAAACTAAGTTCAAACAAAAGTAACACAGTTACAACCAAAAAGCAGGTGATGGAAATCCTTCTTAACTGAAGGAGTTGTTGTGGTTTTATTTATTTATTTGTTTGTTTATTTATTTATTTTTGCAAGTAAGTGCTATATTTTTATAAGACATTTTTACAGATTCAAACAATATATACTGTAAAACAACTATACACAAAATACCCTACTAGTCTACAAAAGTCACAAAGAGATTAATGTAATAAACTAATGGTTTAGAGTCAATGATATTCTGGAAGTATAGTATTCGTAGGATTAGGTAAAATACCTAGATATCTAGTGACTTAAGTAACTGTAATATACCGAGAGTTAAACTGAAGAAAGTATTAAGAAAATATTTATATAAATGGTTGAAACTCAGAGGAAAATATATTTTCTGACTTGATAAGTTACAAAACCTACCTAGATCCAATAAAATCCCAAATCATCAGATTTCACATTTACATGAATTAGAAAGAGCCTAAAGATACAGGTTATGTTGGGTCATCAATGAGAAAATATGAGAAAGATAGCCATTACAGATAAACTTTTCCTTCCTTTTCCCTTCTCATCTCTATGATCTCATATTCTATTGAGGGCTTATTCCATCACAGACACAAAATAATGAAATCAAAACTAAATCTCATCCCAACAGCTATCAAAGAGTAACTTGAATCACTGGCTATCTTGAAGGTTTGTAGACCATTACTAAAATCAAGTCTTTAGATGGAAAAATATTACTTCATAAATTTGTTATATACTATTTCTGTTAGAAATAGAAAAAAAGAGGGGGGAAGTGGGAGAGGTAAAAGAGATTTAATTATGGCTTATTCCTTTAAGTCAACTTGAGAGGACAATTTAGGGAAAAGGTTTCTCTAAATGAAGCCAATCTTAGGCAGACATTTCTAGACTGAGATTTGAGAACGTATAATTTAATTAACCATATTGGCAGTTACTAAAAAATGTAAATCTTTTAAAGTTAGTTTTAAAATATATCTTTACTTCAATATACTGGGCAATTGTTATGGTTTGGATATGAGATGTCTCCCAAATTCTCATGTGTAAGACAATGCAAGGTTTGGAGGAGAAATGATTGGATTATAGCCTTGACCTAATCAGTAAGCCAATTCCTGATGGGATTAACTGGAGGCAGGTAGGGTATAGCTGGAAGAAGTGGTTCATTGAGGGCATGGCTATGGGGTATGTATTTTGTATCTGGAGAGTGAAGTCTCTCTATTTCCTGCTCACCATGTGAATTGCTTCCCTCTGCCACACTCTTTCTCCATGATGTTCTGCCTCACCTCCAACCCTGAGGAATAGAGCCAGCATTCTATGGACTAAGACCTCTGAAACCATGAGCCCTCAAATAAACTTTTCCTCCCCTAAAATTGTTCTAGTCAAATCTTTTAGTTGCAGCAGCGAAAAAACTGACTAAAACAGAAGCAATATGGAAGAGTTATTTTTTCTTTTTTTTTGGTGGGGGGGTAAACAGGGATTGAACTCAGGAGCACTGATCACTGAGCCACATCCCCATCCCTATTTTGTATTTTATTTAGACAAGGTCTCATCAAGTTGCTTAGTGCCTCACTTTTCTTTAATTATTTTTTAGTTGTCAATGGATCTTTATTTTATTTATTTATATGCAGTGCTGAGAATCAAACCCAGTGCCTCACACATGCTAGGCACGTGCTGTATCATTGAGAGCCCCATGCCTCCTCATTTTTGCTGAGGCTGGCTTTGAACTCTGGATCCTCCTGACTCTGCCTCTTGAGCTCGTCTTAGACATAAACTGATAGTTTAAAGTAGGTAGAGCTTAGGCTTCCTGGATCCTACTCTTGCCACTTCACTTGTTAGCAAGGTAACTTTGAGGAAATTGCTTGACCTCTCTATGCCTCTATTCTCATCCATAAAATGGAAATTAGAAGATCGACTTTTATTGGATTGTTTTAAACATTAAATGATATAATCCATGTAAGTATCTGGCACATAATATTAAGAAATGTTATTTCTTCCTCTGGATATATATCATTATTGTCTTGACTCTTTTTTTAAAGTACCACATCTTTGCTGGGTAGTGGTGCACACATATAATCCCAGATACTTGGGAGCCTGAGATAGAAGGATTGCAAGTTTAAAACCAATCAGGTTAATTTAGCAGCACCAAGTCTCACAATAAAAAGTTTTAAAAAGGGATGGAGATGTAGCTCATGGTAGAGTGCTTGCTTATCATGCACAAGGCCCTGGGTTCAATCTCTAGTACCATAAAAAAAAAAAAAGTTTACTTCCTTTTAGATCCTCACAGTCTCTTTCTCCATATCATAAACCCAAATAGTCACCAATGTAAATTTTTACCTTCGTTTTGTTCAAATTCATCTAACACCTTGTCCAGGTTGTAAGCTTCTGCTTGGAAGTAATTCTCCATCAGTGAGGAAACTCCACTCAAGAGACTTGTTTAACCTAAAAAGCACATCAAATTTGTTTTACACTTTTAATTATTAAACTATAGCTTATAAATCTTAAATATACAAGGATAAAATCTCTTCTAAATCTATGCAGACAATGGTAAACAATAAAACCTCATGCCATCTGATATATTTTAAAATCTTTAAGTTAATAAATTCTAGAAGCCTGTAACTTTACAGTCACCAAAATACAAACAGCCCTCCATATCTGTGGGTTCTACAACTCTAAATTAGATCTACCACAGATGGAAAATATTCAGGAAAAAACTCACATCTGTACTGAATACAAATATTTTTTGACATTATTCCCTAAAAAATACAGTATAACTACTATTTACCTAGCATTTACATTGTATTTGGTTTTATAAGTAAGCTAGAGATGATTTAAAGTATACTGGAGGATATTCATAGGTTACATGCAAATACTATGCCACTTTATATATGATATTCGGGCATCTGTGGACTTTGGTTTCCTTAGGGGTCCTGGAACCAATTCACCATGCATTCTAAGAGGCAACTATAAAACAAACATAGAAGATATACTTGATGGTTCACAAACTTGTTTCAAGGCTGAGGCAAGAGGATCGCAAGTTCAAAGCCAGCCACAGCAGTTTATAATTTAGTTAATAGTAAACAATATTAAGTAAGAAAATTTAAATAATAAATTACTTTAATATCAATTCAGTATGAGACACTATGATTTAATTGTCAGATAAAATTAATAGAAAAGCTCTACAGATTAAATACTCTAGAAATTCAAGAAGTCCATAATTCTTATCTGAGATCTTAGCTCAAATATCACTTTCACAAGAAGTATTCTCTGAACCTCCAAGAAAGATAATGGCTCACCTTATAATCTGTCAGCACCACATTCTTTTCCTTTATAAAATTTATCACCATCTATAAATATATGCCAGTGTGATTATTTATATCAAGCTCTCCTACCTGACTGTAGGCACCACAAAGGCACTCTCCAGACTGTGTTCACCATGTACCCCCAAAGATTAGATAGAACATGATGTGGTATCCACTCAATGATACTTATGGAATGAATACATGAACAATGCATAAGTAGTTGGTCAATAAGTTCTACTGAATTACAATTACTAAAAAAGGCAAGCACCAAAAATGTTCTGAACAGGTTAATGGTCATTAAGAAGAGAATGCTCACAGTGCCTCAATGTACCATTCCAAAGTTGAATTATTAATTTCCAAGGAGAAAATATATATTTATAATGAAGAGATATGACAAACACCACCCTAATGAAATGTTCTCACAAAATAACCAATAGTTCAACATGCCAGCATGTGCATTTTCTAATGTGATACAATGACAAGTACAAAGCATCACCTATATAGTTTTTTGTTTTGGTTTGGTTTGGTTTGGATTTTTTAGTACTGGGGATTAGAGCCCAGGGTGCTCTACCACTGAACTACATTCCCAGCCTTTTTTTTTTTTTTTTTTTTTGAAACAGGGTTTCACTAGTTGCTTAGCCTGGCCTCAAACTTGTGATGTGATCCTCTTGACTCAGCCTCTCAAGTAGCTGGGATTATAGACTTATACCACTGTGTCCAGCTATACAGTATTCTTGCTAAAAATACTTAGCCTGAATTTAATCATGAAGAAACTATTAGGCACATCTAGAATGTGAAGATTCTATAAGATAAATGATCTTAACTCATTTAAAAAATATAAAACACCCAGGGGCTGGGGATATAGCTCAGTGGTACAGCATTAGCCTAGCATGCACAAGGATTTGATCTCCAGCACTGGGAAAAAAGAAGGAAAAAAGAGGGAGAGGGAGGGAGAAGGGGGGAAAAGGAGAAAGGAATGGATGGTTGTGATAGTATACCACGGAAAAAAGGAGAAAGAAGTGTAAGTAAGGGGTAAAATGATAAAAAAAAATGGTAAATCTACATAAAAGATATATGTATCTAAAAGGTCTATTTTTTTTAACTTTTCTATAGACTTGACATTTCTTAAAAGAAAATTATTAAAGCCATTCTGAGTTGACAGGCAGTAAGCATTCCTTCCTACACTGAATAGAGAAATTCTAGATAAAACTGATCATGTTAAAGGGTTGAAACAGAAAAATTTAAAAGCAAATGAGGGAAATATACAGATGTCATAAACATAGAAAAAACAATGAAGCTAGCAAAGATAAACTGAAGGGTAGGCCTACTGTCTGAAAGCTTGAAGGAAAGGTGAGAATTATTGGCTGCAAATTTATAGAAGTTATAATTTATAGAAGAGGGGCCCAAGCTGGCCTTTCTACATGAAGCCAAGAACTAGGGGGAAACTCTTCTTAAAAGCCCAAGACTTAGAGCAGAATGGAACAGAATACCAATAAATTCAACCTTGAGAAATTAGAATTCCAAACTTGGTCCTCACTCAGAAGTAAGAATGATATTAAGTCCTCCCATTCAGAAATACAACACAGTTTATCTCGATGCTTACTCAACTCTTCCTATGACTTTTAATAAAGATTTTAATTTTAAAAAGTCATTAAATAATGAATAGTCAGGAGAGAAGCGTAAATGTGACTACAAAGAAGTAACACAAAGGAGATCTCTGTGGTGAAAGAATTGTGCTGCATCTTAATTTTGATGATAGTTACATGAATCTACACACATGATAAATGGCAGTGAACTACAACGAATTAATGTCACCCTCTTGTTTTTGACATTGTCTATATTTATGTAAGATGTAATCCAAAAATATTGGGTGAATGACGAATTCACAGGAAACCTTTAAACTATTTTGCAAATTCCTATGAATTAATTATTACTATAAAATCAAAAGTTTTTAAAAACAAAAAAGAAACAGGTTGTTAAAAATTGAATAAATAGGGCTGGGATGTACCCCAGTGGTGAAGTACTTGGCTAGCATGTGTGAGGCCCTGGGTTCAATCCCTGGCACCTAATACTAAAATAAACAAATGGGAGTAGGATGAGGGAAGGACATCTGTGGATGGGAGAGTCAAAGTCTAACATAAGGCAGATACCCTTTTGTAGAGGTGGCCTAGAATGTTAAAGACCTAGCAGAGTAACAATGTCACAGAAGGACAACCCGTTGTGCTATATACCAGAGTCCAAGAAAGTAAGGAGGGCATTCATGTGATGGGATGGTCTAAAACAGGAAGTCAGAGAGCTCCAGTGAATAAAATGGGCATTCAAATGTGGAGAGGTGAGAAGGAGGCAGTGACAAGGCAGTTCAGTATGCCAAATCAGAGCCTATGCATAATAAGACACAGGAAAAAGAAAATATGGCACTGATAGGACATTAGCTATATGGAAAAATGGATCAAATAAGTAATTATGTGAAGGGCAATAGGAGCAGGGTTTCTGCCTGTTGGAGAAGGGAGTTACAATGTGAAAAAGGAAAACCTGAAAGAACTCTACAGTGTTGGTTTAGAATTTTAGGTATCATTGTGAACAAATGAAATCAAATAAAGATTCTTTTGAGACATAAAATAAAGGTGCAAATATGTATGTGTATGTAAATGTGTGCATATACATACATTTTCTAGCTTTATTCAGTTACGGCCTTGGATCCCTACCTGGACCCCATGTAGTAATGAGCACACCTAGCAGCAGACTTGGTTTCTAAATATTATTTTCCCCTAAATGGAACAGGACTCAATGAAGAAATGACTGATTTCAGGGCTGGAGCAAAAAAAGTACAAGAGCCGTGACGAAAATAGAGAAATGTAAACTCCCATACACAGTGTGGTGAAGGAAATATAAAGTATTGTGGGTCTTTTGGAAAACCTCAAAAAAGTTCCTAAGAAGAGTTAAACATTGGGGCTGGGGTTGTAGCTCAGTGGTAGAGCACTTGCATCGCACGGGTGAGGCCCTGGGTTCAATCCTCAGCACCACAAAAAAATAAGTAAATAAAGATATTGTGTCCATCTACAACTAAAAATAAAAAAAAAAATTTAAAAAAAGTTAAACATAAGCTGGGTATGATGGCATACACCTATAATCCCAGTGACTCAGGAGGCTGAGGCAGGGGGAGTGCAAGTTCAAGCCCAGCCTCAGCAATTTACAGAGACCCTATCTCAAAATAAAAACAATAAAGGGCTAGGATGTGGCTCAGTTGTAAAGTGGCCCTGGGCCAAATCCCCAATACCACACACATATAAAAAGTTAAACATAGCTGACATATGACCTGGCAATTCCATGTCTCTGTATGCCAAGGGAAAACAGTTCCACAAAAAATTTGTACATAAATATTCACAGCAGTATTATTAATAATGGACAAAAAGTGAGAAAAAATCCAAATGTCTAACTTATGATTCAATAAATAAAATGTGGTTAAATATATATGAGACAATAAAAAAAGGATGAGGTGCTTATATAGGCTATGACATGGATAAATTTAAAAAACAATGTGGTTGGGTTGGGGTTGTGGCTCAGCGGTAGAGCACTCGCAAGGCCCTGGGTTCGATCCTCAGCACCACATAAAAATAAATAAAGATATTGTGTCCAACTACAACTAAAATAATTAATTAATTAATTAATTTTTTAAAATGTGGTTACCAAGCACGGTGGCACATGCCTATAATCCCCGCGCAGCTCGGGAGACTACAGCAGGAGGATCACAAGTTCAAGGCTAGTGAGACCCTGTCTCATAATAAAAAATTTTACAAAAGGGCTGGGGTATGCTCAGTGGTCAAGCACCCCTGGGTTCAATACCTAGTATGAAAAAAAAAGTACTGAAAACTAAATAGTATTTGATTCCATTGATATGAAATATCTAAATAGGTACCTCCATAGAATCAGAAAATAAATTAAAAATATCTGGAGATATTAGAGGTAAAGAGGGATTAACAATCAAACTTAAACTTTCTTTTTGGAGTAATGAAAATGTTCTGGAATTAGATAGTGGTGATGGTTGTATAACTTTTTAAACATATAAAAACCATTAAATTTAGACTTTAAAATGTGAATTTTATTGTATGTAAATTATATTTCAAGTTTTAATAAAGTGAC